TAATATAGAAATCTGTTGTCTCAAAAAGTGGAAACCAGGTGCCTTTCTGCCAGCAGCAGAAGGGATGCTGCTCTCCTTGTATGCAATAGCCAACTGTTCAGAGCACTGATCAGGAGACACGACAGTTCAGTTGTCTATTCTATCAAGAGATATTCAGAACTTTATTTTCAAAAGAAATGTCCTAAACCCCAGCAGTTGCTGATTTCAGGGAGGAGTGAGCTAGGATACGGGGCTCCCCTCAATTTGAAGCTTGGCCACTATGCAGAAAAGAATTTGGGATTTACTAATATACAGAAAAGAAATTATGGACAAACCACTCCTGCACATACACATTAGGAGTGAGGAGATGCATGGTCTGGGAGAGTTGACATTTTTTGCCTTTTTATGTATTAGGTAAGTGCTCTCACCATATACACATATGAAGTGGGAAACTAACACCAAGTTTACTGCTTGAGTTTTGGGGCTTAGTTGTTTGTTGTTTTGGAGGTTTTTTTTGTGTGGGTTTTTTATTTTTTTAACATGGTCTCCATTTTGCTTTTTACTAGTAGCTCAAACTTTTTCATGTGTCTTCACTGCAGTCTCAAAAGACTGTAATTCATTAGGTTGTTCAATTAGGTTACAATATAGGCAATGCTGCATAAGTAACACAGATATTTTGAGTGCCCGGAAACTCTGGTTACAAATTGCTGTCCTACTGGCATTAAGGCAAAGCCAGCCTTGCTAGATATGACCTTGAGGCTTTTTTATGAAACGTAATTGCAAGGTGGGTTGGGAAAGCTACATCTGCCATATACTTCAAGAAGCAATTTTACATGTCCAAAGGATTTGCACTGTCCATGAAACTGAAAAATGTCCAATGCATTTGCTGCAATGTCAACTGAGGACACCATTTTGACTTAGATACAACATCAGAGTGTTGAAATATGCTTATTTTGAATTTGAATAATATTCTTATTGCTGAGAGGTTTTCACTTCAGCCATAGTTGCCAAAATATGTCTGCATGAAACCTGAAGTTGTGTCACTACACAGACAGAATTAAAGATTCATTTAGCCAGAGAGAACGAAACAAGGAAGAGAAATCTTCTTTGTACTATTCAAATGGTTAAACTTGTATCGCTACAGTTAACATACATGTATATATCACTTATATGCACATATATATTATGCATGTTAAATAAATAATATGCATATATCATTGTATAAATATACATAGATGCACATACATAATATATGAAAGTATTTAATATTTACCTATATAGATCTGTATTAATTATATATATATTTGAAAGATGCAGCAAAAACTCTAATGTCAGCCAGAAAAAAGGCTGGTTAAGCTAGAAAAAGTGCTTGTTTTATGAAAAAGTAAAATTGCAATTCACAGCATTTTATGTAATGCTGTACAAATTACCAGATACCAGAGACTGCATTTTTGGACCTGAATAGTACTAAAAGTTGCAACTAAGGGCAAATATAAAGACACTTGTTTACAATGCAAAGGCTTAGTCAGTACTATAAGCAATATGGCAATCTGCATAGCAGAAGATACAATGCTTTGTAATATGATTTTTACTTTACATATCAATTCCTACACACATGACCAAACTCAGAAACAGCCCCATTAATTTCAATCATTGAAAAAAAAGGAGAAAATTCAGTAAATAAACCGATACATTAAATGGAGATTAACACATAACTGACATATTTACACAATCATATGTTTACCTTATTTACTGGGTGGTAGCCCTATTTTATAAAGACATCACCAAAGCATTTAAAAGTGTCCTAGAGATGGGCTGGCAATCCTATTCCTGAAGCTGCTGGTGACACTTCCACGATTTTCAGTTATGATTTTTTCAAATAACATGGTCTAAAATGATACATACTAGGTGAGTGAGTGAGTGAGTGAGTGAGTGTGTGTGTGTGTGTGTGTGTGTGTAGAATGCACCTAAACAATTTGAGTGCCCTTCCTTAAGATGCGATTAATCTTTGTGTCAAAGAATCTCATCTTCCCATGAAATGACATTGAAATTTATAAACATGTATTATCTGAGAAAGCAGTTGAGACTATTCCTCCACGTGGCTTTCCCAGCACCGGTTACTCTTTATGGCGAAGTGCAGATAGACTGTCCCTCACATTTATCTCCTGTTTCCTTCACTATTCACCCATGGTATGCACTCAGGTATAGCATGGCATGTGTCCTGTTCCTTTGCTTTCTTCAGGAAAAAAGAAGACTTGCAAATAAAAGCAGAAAAAACATACACAAACACTCACATACAAGTCCTACACTCACAAGTTGTTTAAAAACTGGCAGCACTTCATGAAAAAAGTGACAAAATCAGTGCTCAAAAGTTAGGAAACTGGTAGATCAGCTGTTTTGGGAGGTGTGAGGCACATGCTCAGCTGGAGACAGGGGACCTGAGCAGCACCCTTGCCTGCTTATGCCTGCCTCTTCCCACAGGCAGAGTCCTCTGGGAGGCAAGAAGAAAGTTTGTTAATTGAGTAGCTCCTGCCATTTGGATAGCAAGAGGATGGATGTCCTCATGTGATGTGAAGCACAACTGAACATCTCATAGCTGCCAGCCAGCTAACCCTGAAGTCACTGCAGCTCTGCTATGAATATGAAGGGTGTAATATTGGTCAAATATTACTTTGAAAAATGAAGTTCTAGATGTCCTGAGCAGGACACCCAAAATTACTCAAAGCTCAATTTCACAACGATTTAGCTGTGTTTGAAAATATGGACAATACAAACTTCTTGTTCCAGAATATTACTGGAATTTCTTTACACTAAAACACTGCTGGGATGAGCAGCACAGAAAATCCTATGAAGAAGCAAGGTTAAACAACATGCAGTAAATACAACACAGGAGCTCCCAGGGTGAACACCTGATTATAAGTGTATGAAATGAGACTCACAGAGATTATGGTATAAAGTATAAAACATACCATGTGAGCAAATCATTGTATTAAAGCATTTTTGGAAAAGGTGTGTTACTTTTGGCATGTCTTAACTTTTGAGAATGAGGTCTTGAAATCTTAATAATACTCTTTAAAAGTAGCTTTTATGGATGATAATATAACACATGGACATAAAAGAGCAGATGGACTCCAAACAATCTTAATAATGTATTACATATATTTCTTCATGCTTACATGCTTGTCTAAAGAACTACAACTCTTCTAGTGCCATATAAATATTTCATAATGGTAATTTAGAATACACCCATATAGTATTACATCTGGGTATTTTACATCCTTATTCCAAAATGGATTTGCTTTAGTAGCATGCCACCTCTGTTGGATTCATTGAGCGTGTTTGTGAGAGTAAGTGGTTAGTACTTGGTTTCATCAAGTTAATATTTTGATACTTTCCACACTAGAAAAAAACATTATATTATCAAAAGAATTTCAATAAATGCTTAAAAGTTAAGTAAATGCTTCTGTGTTTTTCTGACTAACAACAAATCTAAATATATGCACAAATGGCCTCATGCACTGAAGTGATCAACAATCTTTTGATTTTTTTCTAAAAACAAACCTCAGAAAATGCTACAATATAATTTTTTCTTTTTAAAAAAAAATAAAACAAAAAAAAATCTTTTTTTCATATTTGCTTTTTCAAAATTAAGCTATTTAGAGTGTTATGTTAACAATTCATGACATGCTGAATAATGACATCCAAGTTATACTTGCAAATCAAAAGTTGACTTAATACATTTCCTCAAAATCTACTGGAACATTTTAACCCTTCAGACCTATCTTTTGCCAATAAACAGACTATTTAAAAAAATTTTGTTTGTGTGCACATGGTATCCTTTCTAAAGGTAAGGGGTATTTCTAGAACCAAACACCCCTAAGACAGAAATTAAAGGTATCCTGTACATCACTTTAACTAAATGCATTAGTATTTATGATGGAAGCTATAAAATTAAAATGCGTGAGACACAACTCCCCAAAATTAATGACGTAACACCCTATTTCAGACTTTTAAATTCAGGACAAACACAGATCAAATGCTAAGAAAATGTAGAAAGATGCATGAAAGGTCCTTGTATGGATAATCACATAGCCTTTCCCCTGAAAGTGTGTAGAAATTCATGCAATATAGAGAGAAGAAGAATGTAGCACTAACTGCCCCAAAAACATTTAAAATTAACAAAAAGTTCTACTCATCTCATATATGCCAGTCCTTCATACTGCCATCTTTACATCGAAAATTGATTTTATTTATATAAGAATAAAATACATCTAAATTTGTTTTAACAGACCTGAAACGTGATTCTAACTGATATGATTCTGAAGTTGCTCAGTTGTTTTTCCACATCTACCCAGTGCAGTAATTTCACATTCTTCTGCATAATTTGAAGTCTATTACAAATTTTAAAGCATTTATTACAAAATTATGGGCTTTAAGAAAGTCTGCATAAATTAATTTAGAAAGTTGCTACTAGCTATGTACTAGGGATACACTGACATGTTTCAGTATAAGAGCCTTAAAGTGACCTATGCTAACAAATTGCTTATTGGATGTAAAATGGAAATTCATATTTTCTTACGAAAATTTGCTATGTAAGCTGAGCTTGACTTTTTCTGTACTGTGATTGCAAGGTGAAAAATAGTACTTAAAAAAACCCCAAAATCAAACCCAGGCATTTTGTATATGACAGGTTTTTTTTTCCATTATAAGCAGAACAATTCCTGCCCGGCATGGCATGTTTGTTATATTGAGGTCTTTTAACTGGTATTTCCTTCCTCTATTGAACTGCAATGATACTCCCAGCCTGAAGAAGTGCTCTCCCTATGATCAGAAGGGAAAGGACATCTTTTCATGGAGACATGACTGTGTGTATTGAGCATTTGCACCTTAAACCTAAGTTTAAGGGAGTACCAGACAAGGCTATTTGCACTAAATAGTGCTCAGTACCATATAAATGCTGAAAACAGTTTGTAACATATCGCTATATATTTATGTGTGTATGTATATACATTTTGTGTTACCTTGGATACAAGGCTTGCTCTGTAGGCAGCTAACTGCTTCAGATATTCCTTCTTGGCAGCTTCAGTTTTCTTTTTGTATACCTAAAAACAAAGAGTATCACATTGGTAAATTAATCTGGTTCTGGTTTTGTATATCACCGGTGTGTCTCATGCATCTTCATGAAGTCTAAGTAAACAGCCTTTCCTCCTCATAGTGCTTAAAAAGTGATATAATAAACATCAAATATTTTAAAGAAAATATTTTTCCAACTGTGAAACAACAATACCCAGCAGTACTGAAAAAACAATATCCCTCATAGCATCTCAGGTTTAATTGTTCAAAGTGAAGTGCAGGGTGTACTTGCAAATGGGACCTTTAGGGATGGGGGAAGGCAGGAGTGGGGCTCTCCACTGGTTTCCACTTGTGAGATGAGTTAAAACCCTCTGAGGAAGATGAGAATATGCAGAAAGACACTTGAGCTAAATAAAGGAGGAGATGACAGCACCACACAGATCAGCTAAGAGGCTTTCTCTCTTCCCCAGATAAACTGTTGAGGGCAGTCAAAGAAGCTTCATGGAGCTGCTAAGGATAATAAATGTTAGTCATTATTCCAGTCTTGATCCCATATCGGTCTAATTAACTTCTCAGGAGCATGGATCTATTTCTGTACATTTCCTTCAACTCACCAAATTATTTTAAATGCGGCATGTGCACAACCTCATAATAGATTAAACAGCTTGGAAAATCACTTCAATTTTGCCCAATTTCAAGATCAAAGATTATCTGCAGGGTTAGGCAGGACCTCATAGCATGACAGTAACATGATGTTAGAAAAGCATACATAGATATTTAGGGTTGAAAGTTTTCAGAAGGGGAACCAGTTTCTCACCCATGGAGCTTAGCTAATGACTTGCTGATAGCCACATCAGCAACAGATTTGGGAACAAGTCAGCATTTCTCTTTGCAAACATTATCATGTGATTCTCACCACTTCATGGAGTTTTATTCTAAAAGGGTAGCCTTGGGGACCATGCATGAGTCTTGGCTTCATGTAACTAAGCAGGATTGACTCCTAGCCTTCCACATTGCAGGGAAGGCTTAAAAACCATCCAAACAGAAGGTTTAAAAGTAAGAGAGACAAATGAAGGGAAACCTTTTTTATTGCTGTTACCATTCACAATTTTTAAGTCACATGCCCAGAGCAGAGGTTAATTCATGTGCTCATGAGCATTTGGGATTCACAATATTACATATTACACAAAATGGAACCGCAGCTTTGAGTCTGCTGTCCGCTTCTCCAGTCAAGTGCACAACCTGGCACCTGTGGAATGCCTCCATGAAGAGAGTAAAGACTATCCACCTTCCCCCTCCCACTCCACACTGTCTAGTTAATTGGGCTACAGGTTCGAAGGCAAAAGATGCGCAAAGCTATTCATGACGATTTTGGGGTGTTCTCAATTCCACAGCTGAAAAACATACATGTACATCTCCACTCCAGAAGGATAAACTTTATGAAGTCATCTCTTATGATCTTCCAGTGCTCTAGCAAAACCAGAGCAGTCCTGCAATGGAGAGGACTAGGCAGCACAGAGTGTGCACACGGAGAACAATACAGTTGCAGACTACAAAGTGAGAGCGATAGTGTCAGTCTGGAAGGATCCAATACAACACTATCTTTATAAAGAATGTGCTCGTGAAACATTTTTTGTTTCACTGAGGCTTTGCTTTCAGAGACAGAACAATCCTCGGATACAGGCTGGTAAAACTCAGAGGCTGCCTAAAAGGATTAAAGATTTTGCTTCCCAGGGAAGCAAAAGATCATAATGGAAACAGAGAAGTCTTAGGCTTCTGAAATTGTAAATATAAAGACAGAGAGGAAAAAAGATTAGTTTTAGCTGTGCAACTGTATCTGTGCACCCTTGTAATTTCTTCAGATTAAGATAAATATATAGTGTTGGCTGATCTCCTATTGTTTTGCAAAAAAAATGGTAGCAATTTGCTTTTTAAGTTGTAATCGCTTGTGATTATTAGAGAAACGTAATGTTTGTTTTGAAAAGGAATAAAAAATTAGTCAACAATCTGTTCCTAGCTGCTAAAATGAATTTAGCTTGACCTACAGAACAAAGACTAAGTTATACCGCTTTGTATATCCCAATGCCTCTGCATCATTCTGACAGCCAGTTTAAAAATCAGAGCTGAACAAAGAATTTTACACAGAATAATGATCTTCAAAAGATCATGTACCTACTGCTTCCACATTGGGTTTTATTTTGCATTACACAAATATAAAAAATATACGCTCCTACTGTGCTCTTACAGTCACAGCATATTGAAAGAGCCCTCTGGGACCTGACTTTTCCCTCAAATAGTCATATTGCACAATGTTAACTCAATAATATGAAGCTAAGAACAGTTCTGTAAATCTCCATCTAAAACATCACTACTTCATAGGAGCATCATCATACAAGCATTATTTAATTTCTGCCTACCTATACATCTACCATGTTCAGTGTACGTGTTGCCTTGCCCTAAGTCTTTTCTTGGGTCTTGTGGTGAGCCAGTAATAGTCACAAGAACACCATGTCTTCCACTGTAATATAAACATCCACTATGTAATAGAAGATTGTTACGGTAAAAATGTCCTTACTGGATGAGGAGAGGTTTTTGATGACCCCAGCCTGCTTTAATGCTTTACATTGGCCAGAATGGTCCCTGCAGGCTGGCTTGTCTGCAGGGTGGTCAGCAAACCTTGCTTTGTCCTTGTAAGGGCATTGTCATGTCCTTTGAGGACAGTAGCTTGAGCTCTTGCTATCTATGTGCTGTTGTCCTTCTGAAGATGCCCACTGCTTAGGTCAGTATACAAGTGGGTTGATGATCCCCATGCTAGTTTTGGAAATTCTGATTGGTCCTGGCTTATACAAAAATTAGGGTAAGTTCTGCCTATCTGGGGAGTTGTCGATTTTCATGAGTAACAACAAAGTCTGGCTGTCGATATTTTTCTCTGAAGGTAAATGGAGGTGGCCCTGGCAGTGGGCACCAGTTCACTGACTTTGTGCGAGACTGGACTTGTAATGGAGGCTTATGAAGGCAGGGCAAGTGGGGAGCGTCCTCAGCATTTGTAGCAACACCTCAAACAGGTAGGAGCAAGTCAGCTGCCCCTCCCAATTTCTTTTTTTTTTCTGCAGCTGTTAGAATTTTTAGCTCTCAGGCTTAAATAGTTTTGTGCTGTAGTAAGTATAAGAGAGTTGCATCCTTGCAGCACTTTTGGGGAGGTAAAAGGCTGTGTCATCATTCAAGTGCGCTCGACAAAATGGCTGAAACTCTTGAGTTTCATGTTCAAGACTATGAAGCGCCAAACTATGAAACACATAATTTCCAAAAACACATTTAACAATTATTCCTGTATCAAGAAGCAGGCTTCTGTTCTGTTGATTATCTATAGTGTACAGTGGCAGTATTTATTTTTACTTTTAACATCTCAAAAATCTCTTATAAGGTCATTTTCCCTTCCTCCGTCAAGCAGGCAACAATTATTAAATAAATAACTTGACAGAAGCGTATACTTATGGAATTAAGTAATTTCTAGCTTGCTTTAATTCAATTAACATGATAATTGAATGTCAACTGATTGTCATTCAGGCAGTAAAGGCCCGTTTTGATTCAGCACTAGATTTGTTTTCTTACACAATATTTTATTTTTTATATTGTCTCAGTTGTGGAAATTGAATGTAGGCAGAAGAAACATCATTTCTGTACATGCAGGGTGGGCCAGCTTAATTTATTCTTATTCTCTTCAGCTTGTTATAGAAACCCCAAAACACCAAGATTACATTCATTTGTGTCCAAATGGAAGCTGCTGGCATTATTTTCCTACCGTGCTTCACGAATGCAAATTTACACAGTATAATACACAGATTCTTAGTTTACTATTTAATTACATTTCCAAAGTGCACCCAGCAAGATAGCCTCAAGTTCCCCTATACTGTTTAGCTAAGGATACAGCAATATAGAAGAAGATGCTTGCCAAAAGGAGTAAGTATGTAACTCTACCTTGTGCATATGAGTATATAAGATAGCATTGGAATTAAGCCACCGGGGAAAATGAACACCCTGGGCTCTACCGTGTTAACGTACAGCCTGGTACCAGCCCCCAGGCCGTTGCACTGGCATCCTTTAGCTTAGGTTCCCTGGGCTGACCATACAGGTGGGTTACCAGTGTAGCAGCCTGCATCGAGGGCTGAACTCTTTTTATTAATAGTGATACACATCCTTAAACTGACTGCCCCAAAGTTTCATTTGGAGATAGAGGGGTTGTGGGTTATATGGTTAGCCACAACCACTCACAAATACTAGATTTACCAAATTAAAACCACAGTGGAATAAATATCTGCACTTCTGCTTTATGATGCCAACTTCTGGTCATGTTTTGCTTTATGTATTTTAATTGCTGCTTTGTTCTTGTCTTCCTGGATCATAAATTCCTTGAGGCAGGCTTTGTGCCTCCTGTACTCTTCTACTTTTTGGATAATACGAAACTTGTCACTGATCTATATAATTGAAATACACCTGTAATGCCTTGAGCGAAGTTTTTGTTCTGGTTAGTCATATTTTGCCAATGAACTTCCTCTCAGCTTTCTTGTGGAGGATTACCAACACATCACAACACACTATGCAGCAGGACTCTTACCCTGTCCTATGTGGCTTGCACCCTTGTTCCCTTAGGGGAACAGATCTCCCTTCCCCCAGTCATCATCACAAGAGCCAAAACAGGCACTCAAATGTCTGCAAATATGTCCTCAGTTTTGAAGATCGGGTGCCAATAGAAGACAGCACCAGTAACTACCGTCCCCTTTGATACGAGAGACTTGGAGACAGTGAGTTAAACTGACTGATGCTCTTAGGAGAGAAAGAGACTTTCAGAATTTGTGCCTCATGGTAGTCTGAAAAAGCTTTGTATCTCCTAGCTGACAAAGCACATTACGAAGAACCATGCTACTTCCCTGGCTTTGCCTAAATAGCTGGTACAAGGATGACAAAGAGAGGGAAGTTTTCAGTTTGTCTTGTGGATATTTCCTTAGAGCTGACACTTGCAAGCAAGTTA